CACATTTATGTGCTGTTCATATGGTTAATATATTATGATTAACAGCTCACATTTATACGCTGTACATACAATATATAACAGCTAAATTTATATACTTTACATATGATTGGTAATCGCTCATACTTACCACTTACATTTATGTGCTGTACGTATGGTTAGATAACGGTTATTGTCATAAGCATCTACAACTTAATCTTAGACAATACAAACATAATACTATATAGCATTATCTATTATTTCAAAGATTCTTTCGTAATAGTCCTGATAACCATAACTCTAAATACTATTGGCTAATACACGTAATAGGTTGTTACAAATACATTATTATATTTATTATTTGAACAGTTTATTTTCCGACAGCCTCTAGTTGCTGTCGGGGAATGACCCGAATTTATATTTAAAATAGAAAAGAAAGATAAAATTTTCAAACTTTTTACATAGTGCCAGGTATCATGTTTTAAACACTCATAAATAACTTTTACTTATCATTATAAGTTCATAAAACCTATTGCTATTACTAATTATATTTGGTTAATATCTAATTCATATTTGGAGTATTCCGGAGATTACATCCGCTACTATGAATAAAAAGTAATAATTTCTATTTTTGTGCATTAAATAATTATTACCCCGAGATTAGAATATTGCATCGCATTTTTCGTTAGAAGTTTTATCTTTTGTTGTATTTTTACTTGTGAATAAAATTAGTCATAACACTAAATACACAAAGAATTTTCTGAAGAGACTTTCACATTTCCTGTTGGAGTTTTTATTTATTGTATTTTAACAAATTTGGGGTTTGATGACATGAATTATTCCAAAAGATAATCTGCGTATGAATAAAAAGTAATAAAATGACCAAATATTCGCAAGACAATTCAAATCAATATCACTTCAAGATATATCTGAAATTAATAGAGTGATATAGGATGCTTTTAACAATTTTAAACCTCAAAACATTTCTATTGAAGGTTTATTAGATCCAGATACTTCAATTGACTATTTACCACATTTTGGCCTTTCTTTTGAGGGAAAATTTAGTGATCGAACTAAATCATCAATTTATGAAAATTTGCAGTCTTGGTAAGTACAAGTTAAAAAATATATATAGGTAAATACTATTTAACTCTTGATTTAACTTAGGATAGTTACATGGAAAAGATAAAAAACATGATGAGAAGGATTATGTCTACTTGTTTATTGTATCTCCTTTAAATAAACTTTTTGAAGGGCTAATAAACTATGTAACTGTACAGGTTAATACATAATGATAAATCTTTTTACTCATATTATTTAATATATTAATTTTTCATAATATTAATTATATAGACCTGAGCATCCAACCTATTATTCATATGAATGTAAATGCCATTTTTTTCGAATCCATTAGAAGATAATGAAATATTTGATTTTCAATTTTTTGATCAGTTTTCTTTTGAAAAAGAATAATCAAATAATTTAAACATAGCAGATGAAATAGAAAATACTATTATTATTAATAATCAAAAGCCAAAAACTTATTGTTGTAGAGAATTTAAAATCATCTGATAAACACAAAAAAGGAAGCATAACATTAAAAAAGTATCACAAAAAAGTTGATGTTGCTATTTTTTTTAGAGTTGATAAAGAACAAAAATGGAAAAAAAAATTTTGGATATCTTTATTCTTTACTTAGTGATGTGAAGCTTCCAAGAATTAACAGTGAAAAAGATTACAAAAAAAAACATTCGAGCTTTAAATGATAATTTTAATACAATTATTAAATATTACTCAAAAAGAGCAAAAAAAATTTAAAGGAGCTATATGAACTAAATTGATAGTATTAAGCTTGGAGGAATGCATGTGTTAGGTAGTGTAATTTATTATATTTTTTTCTTTGAAAAGATAATTACTAAAAATATATTATGCAGAAGGAGAAATATATATTCTTCAATACGTAAAATACACAAACCAGATCTTTGGTGTTTTATCTGATAACTATTCGGCTAAGATTTCTTCAAAGCCTGAAGTTCAGCACGCAGGCCAAATGATTGACTTTCTTTATTGTATTAAGGTTAGGTTTAACTGTTTTTTTAAATATAAAAAATTTTCAGCCTATTTTGATTTCCCTTATATTTTTTATTAGGACATTGTAAAAGAATTTATTAAGCAAATTAA